AGCAGCAGCATCGCCATCAGTATCATCATCAGCATCACAACATCACCACATTATCGTCATTATCATCAACATCATCATCACCATTACCATCATCATCATCACCACCATCATCATCATCATCACCATCATCATCATCATCATCATCCTCATCCTCATCATCATCGTCATCGTCATCGTCATCGTCATCGTCATCATCGTCCTGCTCCACCCAATCCGCCCTTTGCCTCCTCCAAACCACTCTCCCAACTCGTTTCATCTTATCATCAGTATGCTGCTCCTCCTTCTCCATCGCCTGTGGCTCTTCTTCGTTAATTATCCTCGTTCTCCTCATCCTCCTTCCCCGTCTTATTTTCATCTTTGCATTGCTCGATTTGATTAACTCACCCTCGTTTGGCCCTTATCCCCTCCCTTCTCCTCCTCCTGCGCTCCTTTTCCTCCTCCTCCTCCTCCTGCTTGTCCTGCTCCCACTGCTCCTCCTGCTGCTGCTCCTCCTCCTCCTCACCTTCCTCCTCCTCCTCCTCCTCCTCCTCTTCATCCTCCTCAGCCATTTCGCGTCCAAGCGCCTCCCCTGCACCGGGCCTCCTGGACGATGTGGCGCGCCAACTTCGAAGTGGCGTTGTGCGCCCGAGCCGTAAAGGAGAAATGCTGAGGCCGGGCCTCAGTCAAGAAGCAGCGCGGAGCCCAACGTCATCAGCTGTAATGCTGAGACCAGGCGAGCGCGCAGCCCCCAGGAAGCGCCCCCCCCTCCGCCCCCTCCTCCCCTTCTTCCTCCTCTCCTTCATCCCCCTCCTCCACCTCCTGGCAAACCGGGGCGCCAACAGTTGCGGCGCCGCGGTCAGAGTGTAGGCAATCCGTCGAGAAGACGAAGGACGAGCCCGACGTCAGCAGCTACAACGCTGGGCTCAGGGTCAGAAGCGGGAGCCAGGCCATACACCTCACTGCGAGAAGCGGGATGGTGAAGGTCGAGCCCAACGCCGTCAGCTACAGCCGACTCCGCATCCGACGCTGGAGGCCAAGCTGGTGGCCGACGAAGGTCGAGCCCGATACCGTCAGTCACAGTGCGGCGATCAGGGCATGCTACACTGGGAGTCAGATGCCACACCTCACTGCAAGAGGCGGGAGGCGAAGCTGGAACCCAACATTGGAGCCAGAGGCCAATCTAGTCTAGCCCTATACCACTACTATGCGAGCAGTGGAAGGCAAAGCTGGAGCCCGCCTCAAAACCCGACGCCGAAACGAGAAGCGGGAGGCGAAGGTAGTGCCCGACGTGATCAGCTACAGTGCTGGGATCGAGGGAAAAGCGAGCACGAACGGATGTGCCACGATCAGCTACAACGCTGGGAGCAGTCCGTGCGAGAAGGGTGCGCGCAGTGGCAACACACGCTGGCGCTGCAAAGCGTGCGGGTGGGCCACGATCCGCTACAGCGCGGGGAGCGACCCGTGCGAGAAGGGGGGCAAGCAGTGGCAACGGACGCTGCCGCTGCGAGAAAACCTGCTGCGAGAAGGGGGAGGTGAAGTTAGAGCCTGATGGTCTTCTAGCTAACTCCGCTAGAAACAGCGCGTGCGAGAAGTGCAAGGGCGACAATCGGGGCAGAGGATCGGCGCACCTCGATAGCTTCGGCGCGAAGCGGCAGGGGGGAGCTCTGTGGCCAACCTCTTGCGAGAAGCGGGGGGTGAAGCTAGAGCCCAATTTCGTCGAGAGTTCTAGAGAAGCCTCTTGCGATAAGCGGGGGGCGAAGCTGGAGCCCAAGACAAGTCTCGAGCGAGCCACTTTCAGCTACAGCGCTAGAATCAGCTGGTGTGAGAACGGAGCGAGTGCTGGGGCGAACAATCGGGGCAGTGGATCGGTGCACCCCGAGGGCGTCGGCGCGACATGGCAGGGGGGAGCTCCTGGGCCAGCCTCTTGCGAGAAGCGGGGGGGTGAAGCTGGAGCTCATTTCGTCGAGAGCTCTAGGCAAGCCGTTTGCGAGAAGCGGGGGGGCAAAGCTGGAGCCCTAGTTAAGCCTCGAGCGAGCCACATTTAGCTACAGTGCTGGACCGGACTCGTGCGAGAACAGAACGCAGGCAATGGCAGCTGGGCTGCCAAGGCGTGCGAGGAGTGGGGTGTGGCTCGGGGACTGCCCGACGCGGCCCCGCTCCCGCGGTAGTAAATCTACGGGGCTTTGCTAACCGTTTGACCAGCTTTAATCCATCTCCTCCTCCTCCTCCTCCTCGTCCTCCTCCTCCTCCTCCTCCTCCTCCTCCTCCTCCTCCTCCTCTCTTGCGCCCCTCCTTCCATAACGGGTGAGGGAAAAAGGGGGGAAGGAGGGTGGCTTGGGGTAGGAGGCATTGGAGATCTCAAGGATGAGATAGGTGGAGGAAGAGGAGGAGGAGGAGGAGGAGGAGGAGGAGGAGGAGAAGGAGGAGGAGGCAGGAGGCAGGAGGAGGGAGGGAATGAGGAGGGGGAGGAGGGGATGAAGAGGAGGGGTACAGGGAGGAAAAAGGGGAAGAAGGGGAGCAAACGAGGAAGAGGAGAACAAGAAGGAGAGGGGTTCGGACGGAGGCTTCCAGAGAGGAGAGGCAGAAAGGGAGCAGGAGGATGAGAAGGCAGACGACAAGGAGTACGAGGAGGGACATGATCACGGGTACAGGGAAGGATGGGCAGGAGGAGCATGGCAAAGAAGACGGGAATCAGAAAAAGCGGGATGGCGGGATGGCAATGACGATGCGGGGGGAGCAGGGGGGGAAGAGGACAGCCAGGTGGCGGAAGTACAGCAGAGGGATGGCCGCCGCGAGCGCCCAGGATGGCGTCGCCGACGACGAGGACGACGAGGACGGCGACGACACCGCCGACCACGGCGGCGACGACCACGACGACGACGATGGCGCAGGACGAAGCCGACGCCGACGACGTCGCCGCGGCGCCTGGCCCCTTCAGCGGCCAGCGGTCCAGGGCCGCCAGGACGCTGCTGGGCCAGGCCGGGGCCACCTCCCGGTGGTCCCAGGAAGGGGTCCTGAAGGATGGGGTCCTGAGGACGGCGTGCCTCAACTGGCCATCGCTCGGACGTCCATTTCCTGTGCTTTTTTCGGTTTCGTGTGTGGTCTTTTCTCCAAGAGATCAAGGATGCTCCTCGATGGTCCTCGCCGAAGGAAAGATGCACACGTCCGAGCGATGCCAAGTCAAAGAATATGGATGAATTCACCCTTGGACCCCTGCCTGTCCGCAGGACCCCCCATATCCCTCAGGACCCCGCCTTCGAACCGCCGCGCCTCGCCCATGGGCGCGCTGGCGGCCCGCTCGGGGAAGGCCGCGGCGGCGATGTCGTCCTCGCGGGCGGCCCGTGGGCGGCCGCGGCATCGGGCACGCCTCGGGAGCTCCCCGCTCCGCCCAGGGAACAAAAAGCGCGAGGGATCGACGAGCGCGGTGTGGAACACGACGCGTGCGAGGACGTGCCCCGCGCGCACGCGGCGGGCGCGCGCAGTGGGCCCTGCCCTGCGCGCAGGGCAGCTCTGCGCGTCGAGAATCCCATGCGGCGGGCTGGCTTGGGCCCCTCGCCTGCGGCCCGGCAGGGGCAGAGACAGGTGAGCACGAGTGCCGCACGCACGCGTGCCGAGGCTCCTGCTCGAGACCCCTCCCCTCTCCGCACAAGTAGCTGCACGTGTCCACTTCCGGCGGACTAAGTTGGGTCCCTCGCCCGTGGCCCTGCCGTGGCCAGACAAGAATAAAGAAACAAAAACAGATGCCGAACGCACGCGTGCCGAGACTCCTGCTCGAGACCCCCCCCCTCCGCACACGCATTTGTACGCATCCAATGCCGGCGGGCAGAGCTGGGCCCCTCGCCTGCGGCCCCGCCGTGGCCAGAAACACGTGGAAGCACGCACGTGCCGAGCGCACGCGTGCCGAGACTCCTGCTCGAGACCCCCCTCTCCGCACACGTAGTTGTCCACGTCCAGTTCCGACGCCTGCTGCTCGACGCCCTGCTGCACTGAGGGCCCTGGGCTGGAGCCCTTGCCGGGATCAGGAGAGGACCCCGATCACGCCCTCGCGCAAGGCAATCGCCCTCTCCCTCCGGCACGGCCTGGCGCATGGCTCGGCGACCTCAAGCCGCCTTTCGCATGGCCTCTGCCTGCGCCGCAAGCCCGGGCGAGAGCAAGACATACCCGCCGCCTTGGGGGGAACGGCGTCCTGGGGCCCCAGCGGGCGGTGGGTGTGGAAACACATGAGGCTCCAGGGGCCCCGAGTAAAGCCATGCCTGCCGCCTGCCGAGGTCCCCGAATATCGTTTCACCAGGAGGTGTATCAGGAAAAATCCCCGCTTCGGAGGAGCGATGGAGAGGAAGGGAGGGTGGGTTAGGAATCAACTCCTGGGAGGCCTCCGCAAAAACGATTGAGGGCTACGAAGCTCGATTGGGGGGCCATTGAGCCGGATTGGGCTGGATTGCGCCTGGGATTAAGCTGGAGATTGAGCTGCATTACACAACACCATGCCAAATAAGACAAGTTTCCGACCACGGATTTGACAGCGCTGGCGCTGAATCTCGCCTCCCAGGTGTTGCATCCTGAGTTAGTGGTGGAGGGGAGGAGGGATGCGAGGGAGGGAGAGGGCAGGCAGAAGGAGCAGCAGCAGCAGCAGGGGCGGGGGGACATCCACTGCCATGCCCCCCCCGGCACGTAGTGTCTTCTGAAGCTCCTGCAATCTTCTGCGCCCCCCACCCTCAGTGGGCCCTGGAAACGACAGGGCCTCTTTTTTACAGGTTCCGCTTTGCCGTTTCTTTGCCGGTTCCGACTCCGTTCTTTCATCGGTTCCGTCGCCGTTTTTTGACCGCTTCCGGCTCCGGTTCCGATCCTGGAGCCGTTTTTGTTGCCGTTTCCGGTCGTTTTTTTTTTTGCCGTTTCCACTTCCAAGCGGCATTTTTGTTGGAAACGGTGAGAAAACGGCCCTGCCGTTTCCGGGGCCCACTAAGCCCCCCACCCCTCCCAGCACCCGCCTGCACGCGCCGCCCCTCGCATGCTGGAGACTACTGGACGCCCGCCTCCACGCCTCCCTGGCGCTCTCCAAGACGTCCAGCATGCCCCAGGTGACTTCCAAGATGGCCCAGGCAGGCGGCCGGGATCGAGTACAGTCGGGGCGCTGACCTAAGGAACCTTAAATAAGGAAACAAGGAACGAGGCCCCTCTCTTCCATGAGTTAAACTTCGATTTCCAATCGGAACCTAAGGAACAGCTGAGGCAAGCTGTGAAACACTTAAGGAACGCGGAGCCCCTCCCCAGCGAAAAGGGTTCCTTCTTCAGGGCCCCAACTGTAGCCCACGATCGTCTCACGACGCACCCAACAACCTCTCAGAAGTCCCGATGGGTCCCAAAAGGCCTCCAAGAGGAACCCGTGCCCCCCCTTATGAAGCTCTCCAGCAGCCCCTCGCCGAATGGCACAATAACAATGATCCCTCTTAGTTCCCAACCATCCTGTGGTGTTGGGTCCTCGCTTTGAACAGACAGCGCCCCGCGTCTCCTTCCCCTCCTCTCCTCCTCCTGCCCAACCTCTCCCTCCCCCTACCATCATCATCATCATCATCATCATCATCATCATCATCATCATCATCATCATCATCATCATCATCATCAACATCATCATCATCATCAGCATCATCATCATCATCATCAGCATAATCATGTTCATCAGCATCATCGTCAGCATCATCATCACACTCATCATCATCATCATCATCATCATCATCATCATCGTCGTCATCATCATCATCATCCTCATCATCATCATCGTCATCATCATCATCATCATCATCATCATCATCATTAGAATCATCATCATCATCAGCAGCATCATCATGACCAGCATCATCGTCATCATCATCATCATCGTCATCGTCATCGTCATCATGCCACCCATTTTGGCACACCCCTCACACGTTTCGTGGCCCGAGGGAGCTCCACCTACCCCAGGGTCGACGTTCCCATGGGTGCGCGCCACCAGTTTTCCGGCACACCCCTCACACGCTCCGTGGCCCCGCAGGGAGCTCCACCTGAGGCTCCAATGGCGACCCTAGCGTCCACGCCACCCATTCCTGCGCACCCCTCACACCCGACGCTTCAGTGGCGACGCTCCCATGCGTCCGCGCCATCCATGTCGGCACACGGACACCCCTCACACGATTCGTAGCTCCACCTCAGGCCTCACTGGCGACGTTCCCAGGCGTCCGCGCCATCCATTTCGGCACACCCCTCACACGGTTCGTGGCCCCAGTGGGATCTCCGCACCAGTGGCGACGTTTCCATGGATCCGCGTCACCCATGTTGGCACACCCCTCACACGACTCGTGGCCCAATAGGGAGCTAAACCTAAGGCTCCAATGGCGACGTTCCCATGCGTCCACGCACCCCATGTCGGCACACCCCTCACACGGTTCGTGGCCCCATAGGGAGCTCTCCACCGAAAGCTCCACTGGCAACGTTCCCAGCGCCCGCGCCACCAAATGTGGCACACCCCTCACACGGACCGTGGCAACACGGGAAACCCCAGCTGAGGCTCCAATGGCGACGTTCCCATGCGTCCGCACCGCTCATTTCGAGCACCCCTCACACGGTTCGTGGCCCCTACAGAGAGCTCCACCAAAGGCCACAGCGGGCGCGGCCACATTCGTCTGCCACACCCATGTCGGCGCACCCTTCACACGCGTCGTGGCCTTATCGGAAGCCCCACCTCAGGCCCCAATGGCGTCGTTCGCATGCGCCCGACCGACCCATGTCGGCACACCCTTCACACGTCTCGTATCCCCATGGGGAGCTCCACCGAAGGCCCCAGCGGAGACGTTCGCATGCGCACCGCCACCCCGCCCATTTCGCTTGGCCCACCTCTCACACGCTTCGTGGCTTATCGGGACCACCGAAAGTTCGCATGCGTCCCGCCCATTTGTCCTCCCCCCATGCCTGCACTGCCCCGCGCCTCGTTCTTCCCGCGGCGCGCTGCCCACGGCACGAGAGCAGAGGGTATGCCGCGTGCGCTGTTCGCGGGTTTGCGTGCCCCCCTCCTTCGTATCATCTCCTTCGCGGTTCTCGCAGCTGCACATGGCTAAATTTTGAATGTGTTTCGTGTTCCACGCTCTTCGGCCCAAGACCCGCCGACTTTCGGCAGCGCGCTTGTGGGGAAAGTGAGCGGGGGCATGCCTCCTCAGAAGACAGCGGGGACTATCAAAGCCAAGGTCTTCGGAGAAGGCTTAGAAAACTTCCCAGAACGCGCGAGGGCGTCTGAGAAGCCCCGCCGCCTTCTGAGAAAGCCTGTCCCCTGTCACTGGCCCCCTGGGTTCGCAGTCGACACTCGCGGTCTTCGAAGGCCAGGCGGGGACCACTGAGGGCCCCAAGAGGGCCCCACGCTGGCCAAGGCTGCCTCTCGAAGGACACTGGACGGCCTAAGGCTGCCCCGAGGCGGCCAAGTGGGACCCAAGACGGCCCACCGAGGGCCCCACGAGAGCTTCGGAAAAAGAAACACTGCGGCACGATAGTTAGGCAGCCCCACGACAGCCCTGAGGAGTCCTACGAGAGCGCCTCAAGAGGTGGTGACGAGAGGTGCCACAGGTGACGTCCTCCTCCTCCTCCTCCTCCTCCTCCGACGGCCTTGCGGGCGGTGCTCGAAGGGTCGGCATATCACGTGCATCGCTGAGACGGCGGCGAATCCACCGCAGGCACACGACGAGCACACATTGCTCATACAGTGCTGACACCTCGGGGCTGACTTCTCTTGCTCAGGTAATTCCCCTAGCAGTGCTTGCACTCAAGGGGTCCGTACTTTCGTCCCTGAAACAACTGGACGGGACCGCCGAGGAGGTTCGACTTGCCGCCCCGTGCCGTCTCTTTGGGCGCTCGTTGGCGCCCCATGCGCTGGGTGGGCCCGCCGAGGTAGCGCAACCTTGCCTCCCGTGCAGCCGTGGTGGCGCTCCGTGCGCTGGGCGGGTCCGCCGAAGTTGCGCCACAGTGCCGCCCGTGCCGCCACGCGTGCGTCCGCGGGCGCCCGGTGCGCTGAGCTTACACCAAGTACCCTGCACACGTCGCCTAGACCACGTAGCTGACACCGCATAGCTCACAGCACGTAGCTTGGACAACATAGCTCCACCGCGTTGCACGCACCTCCGGCTCGCACGGCCGATTGAGAGCCACCGCTCGCCCAGAATAGATTTCAGCGCGCAGCCTTCACCTCCGAAGCTCAGATCACACAGCCTACGCGACGTAGCTCGGGCCAGGCGAAAGGGGGAGAAAGCAAAGGGGGGGGGTTGAGAATCAGCTCACGCAGCTGCTTTTCCCGGCGCCTCCCGGCGCCGGAGGCGGCCATGTACCGAGGCATGGGCCCCTCGGTGGGGCCGAAACCAGCTGCACGCAGCAGATTTCGTAGCTCCCCCTTTCCCTATCCCCCCCTTTCGTCCGGCCCGAGTATCGGGGATGGACAGACCCCCCTTTAGCAAAACGTGGTTTCGTGAAAACGACCTGCGGCCCAAACCTGGCGGGCGCGAGCCTGGAACATGACGGCCGCGGCGCCCTCTCGAGAACCGAAAACGGACCATCCACTGAATCGACGTGTCACTGTTGGGGGCTCTGTCCGGCCCCGAGCCGGCCATCGCTCGGACGTCCATTCCCCGTGCTTTTGTCGGTTTCGTGCGTGGTTTTGCTCGCCGAATCATCACGGATGCTCCTCGATGGTCCTCGCCGCAGGAAAAAATGCACACGTCCGAGCGATGCCAAGCCGAGAGGAGGAGGAGGAGGAGGAGGAGGAGGAGGAGGAGGAGAGAGGAGGAGGAGGAGGTAGGAGGAGGAGGAGGCGAGGAGAGGAGGAGGAGGAGGGAGGAGGAGGAGGAGGAGGAGGAGGAGGAGGAGGAGGGGGAGGCGCGCCACGCAGCGTGCTCCGCGCGTCGCTGCCGCCGCCGCGCCGCCGCGGCGGGGCCCCCGTCGGCGCGGCGGGTCCCCGCCCGCGGGCGCCGCGGGGGGGCGCTCGCGGGTGCCCCGTGCGCGGGGTGCCTCCTCCTAGCCTCCAGTCGGGCCTGTCCCCCCTGCAGGGGGGCTCTGGGCGAATATTGAAAACAGCAACAACAACAAAAAAAACATAACATGAAAATAATCCCCCGACTGTTTTTATGTTGAAAGATTCCCAAACTAACAATAATCAACAAGTCCCCCCCAAAAAATAATAAGTTGTTTTTATTGTTTTAAATCGTCCCCCGATAATTCAAAAAATCCCCTGAATTAAACATTGCAGAGAAATACCATAAAATACACAAACATGGTTAACAAAATCGTCCCACGACTATGGTTTGACTATTTTTGAATATTCCCCCTGCAGAGGGACAGGCCCGACTTAATCCTAACCTTACCTCCCCATTCACCTTCCAGCCCCGATGACCCTCACCTTGCCGACGTGGACGCGAAGATCGAGCGAGCCTCCTCTTTGCGAGCCACGACAAGGGGGTGGAGGAGGAGAGCCGTTTGGGGGGGGATGGTACAAGGGGCGGCTGGGCGAGGAGCGAAACCGCGGCCAAACAGGCCAACGCGGACGCTTCTCTCGCCTCAGCCGTAGATGTTCAGCAGCATGAAGTAGGTCATCACGATGATGCCCAGCAGGCTGCCCGCCACCGCCCCGATCGCCGCCAGGGTGCTGTTGTCGGGATTGGTCGCTTGTCTGACCACCTCCCAGTCGGTCTTCAATACCCCCCCAGCGTAAGCAAACTTCATGCCGCGTTGGGACTCGGCGACCACATTGAAGATGTATCTCATGTTGGGCAGGGCCTCCACCATCGCGCTGCACTGGCCGTTAACGCAAGTGCTGGCGTCCACCGACTTGACAGGCTCGTCGGTGTTGAAACCAAGACCACAAACCGTGTTCATTATCTTGTCTTTCCGGAAGAACACGGCCCGATTGAGCTGGCCCTCGTCTTCCAGCAGCACGGAGGAATATATGAGGTACTGGTACGTGCTTGTGACGCCCGCGGGGCTGTAGTAGGCGGCCTCCCACGAAAGATTGACGCCGATCTTCTCGGTCTGATTCGCGGTGATCCGGCCGTTGTTGCCTGGCCTCGGCAGCGCCCCCGTGTCCGCGAGAACGGTCAGCTCGTAGGCCGCGTTCTCCATCGCGAAGACGGAGATGAAGTAGTTCGTCGTGGTGAAGGGGACCTCGAAGAACGTCGGCGTCCCGTCGCGGCTGCCGTCTATCTCCGTCATGAAGTGGACCCACTGGCATTCGGTTGGCGCCCTTGTGTTTGTGGCCACGTCGATGCAACTGTAAGGATTCGGAAAGCATCGCCGTGTCTTCCGGACCATGAGGAAGACTGTCCCCGTGCACGGCTCCAGGTTTATGATGATCTTCCTGTACTCGTCCGCCTGGTTGAACGCCGTCACGTTGCTGCTGCTGTATGTGTACGTGTGGGTGTAGTTCGCGTCGAGGGTCCCGGACACTGGCACGCCGTCCTTGAGAACGCTGTCGTTGCCGAGATCTATGAAGGCAGGGTCGCCTGCAGGCCCCCCTCATGCTCCTCCTCCTCCTCCTCCTCCTCTTCCTCCTTCTCCTCCTCCCGGCAACTTGTCCCTCTGGCGGGCAATACTTCTACTCATATCCAGTGCGTCTTGGACTTTATTGGAAGGGGCGCCGCAAGGCCGAGGCGCACTGGATATTGAGAGAATCTGGCCTTTTGGGGCAGATTTCAATCCATATCCAGTGCGCCTTGTGGTTTTGGGGAAGAGAGCCCGAAACTCCAAGACGCACTGGATGTGGATATAGACATTGCCAGTACCTCTGACGTGGCGGGGGAAAGGGGTGGGGGAGGACAAAGACAGCCCCCTGGAGGTGGCAAGGGAACCCCCACCTCGCGGGCCTTCCGCCAGGCGGGTGAACGCAAAGAGCTGCCGCCAGGCTTGGCATCAAGGAGAGGGGTCCTGCTGTAATGAAGGGGCCCAGGGACACACGAATATATACACACAAATAAACAGATTGCCCATATTGTCCTAGATATTTGTTTGATTTTCGTCTTCCCCCCCACCTCCTATATTTTCCAATATTTTCTAAGGAATCGACGATTCATTGTGTCGGTGTGTTTCTTTCCCTCCTGATCCTGGACCCCCCGGTTTCCCACGACACCGGCTATGCCATCACGAGTCTGCTCAGGGAGTCCCAGGGCACGGGCTGGGCCCCAGGAGCCCGAAAGCGGCGAAAGACCTCCACGACTCCCTCAGGATGCCTGTTCTTCATGGCGACAGGCGTCGGTCCAGCACATGCGCTCGCCCTCAAGGGGCCCTGTAAACGACAGGGCCGTTTTGTTCCCGGTTCCGTTTTGCCTTCTTTTGCCGGTTCCGTCGCCGCTTTTGCCGTTTCCGCTCGCCGCCTCATGCTCTCGGAGCCTGCACCCTATGCCGAGACGCCTGGCGCACCGCTCTCATGCTGCACAACGGCGCTTCTTGAGGGGGGGGAGCTTCGTGGGCCCCGGAAACGGCAGGGCCGTTTGTTCACCGTTTCCGAAGAATCCCTTGAAAACGGAAAACGAAAACAAAAACGGCGACCGGAAACGGCAACAAAAACGGCTCCAGGATTGGAACCGAAGCGGGAACCCGTCAGCGCCGGTACCGGCAACAAAAACGACACAACGGAGCAGGTGACAAAACCGGCCCGGTCGTTTCCAGGGCCCGCGAAGGGATGGAGGCCGTGGGGGGGCGCAACGAGAATCTGGATAGTTTGGATTGAGGGTCAGAAGCGCCCCATCCTCTCCTCCCCCTCCTCCCCCTCCTCCTCCCCCTCCTCCTCCTCCTCCTCCTCCCTCCTCCCCCTCCTCCTCCTCCCCTCCTCCTCCTCCTCCTCCTCCTCCTCCTCCTCCTCCTCCTCCTCCGCCTCCTCCTCGAGTCCCGCGCCCAGAGCACAGCCAGGAGGCCTCTTGCCCACGACCCCGGGCGCAGCGGCGGGAGGGGGCCGACGGCCGCTGGAGGATCGGGAGAAGGATCTCGGATGGAGGCTCGGGGGGGAAGGGGGGGCAAAAAAACCCAGGATTGCAAAAAAACCTTAGGATTGCAAAAAAGGATTGCAAAAAAACCCAGGATTGCAAAAAAAACAGGATTGCAATCCTTCTTCCAGGATTGCAGAAAAACCCAGGATTGCAATCCTTTGCAATCCTTTTTTGCAATCCTTCGTTTTTTTTGCAATCCTTCGGGGGGAGGAGACAGGCCGACAATCGACCAGACCTGCTCCGTCCGCGGCAGCAGGAAGAGAAGACACGCCATAAACATAAGCTGTTGTCGCTCTGAGTATCGTTTCACCGATCCCCATCCCGAGCGGCGTGGCCTGGGCCCCAGTGGTCGATTTACCCCCCTAGATGGGAATACAAGTCGTTCCCTTCGGGCTTCGAGGGGTGTATCCCCAGCTGTGGTGGAAATTTGGTGGGGGTCTCGAAGGGGATGGGGATGGGGATGGGGATCGGTTGAACGATACCGACGCTCCGCGCGGTCTTCTTGGATGTGCCCCAAGAGGCCCCAAAGACAGTCCAAGAGAACCCCGAATCGCCGAACGATCTGTCCAAGACGCCTTGACGGCCTCCAGACGACCCCAGAAGCCTGCAAAGCGCCCCAAGCCTGACCCCCCTCCCTGGCGCGCGCAGAGCGCGCCAGAGCCGGCGCCCGGGGCGCCGCCGGGCGGAGGGCCCAGCGCGGTTCCGAGAAACCCGCGCGGAGCGCCAAGAGCTTCTGCTTATGCCGCTCCCTCGTCTGCGAGAAGTGGGGGCACGGGGCCCCCCACCTCGCGGGGGCCCTCCGTCGGGCGGGTGGAGGTCCGGGAGCTGCCGCCGGGCTTGGCAGCGGGGAGAGGTGCCCTGGGACACACCAAGAAAAATACATACAACTTCAAGAATTCCGTGTATTTTCCCATATTTTCTTGGTTTTCGTCTTCCCCCCCACTTCCCACATTTTCCCATTTTTTCTTGGGGATCGACGATTCATTGTGTCTGTGTGGTCTTTTCCCTCCTGAGTCCTGCTGGGAACGGCTCCTGGGCCCCCCGGTGTCCCGCGGCACGGCCGGGCGGGGGAGGGCCGGAAGGGGCAGACCTGCTGGGCCCGCGGCAGGGCCCTGCCGCAGGCCCTGCAGACCCCTTCTTCGGGCGCCGGCTCTCCGCGCTGCCCCTCGACGCGGGCCGGGGCGGAGGCCAGGGCGAAGGCCCGGCCACACGGGCAGGGGGCAGACCAGCGAGGCAAAGACACAGATCCTGTCCAGGCGTATGCTGGACCCCTGATCGGTGCAGGGATGCATCCATCAGAAATGTACACATGTATGTATGTATACATACATACATACATACATACATACATACATACATACATGCATGCATACATACATACATACATACATACATACATACACACATACATACATACATGCATACATGCATGCATGCATGCATGCATACATACACATATCGACATATATATATATATATGGCTACAATTCATAGATAGATTTATGTGTGTACAAATATATAAACATGTGTATATATATATATATGTATGTATATACGTGTGTGTGTGCAGACACAGCGATGATAGGCAAGAGTTTGGGTACAAGTGAATACGTGTACATATACATATATATGTATAGTTTCACCGATCCTGGGCCCAAGGTTTGGGTATGATCCTTTCACCTCAATTATAAAAAAGAGGGAGTCGGTCGTCGTGGCTTTCCAAACAGCTGGGCGCCAGACGCACGCCTCCGCGGACTCGATCCCAGACAGCCAAGAGTATACTATTTCAGACTCTCCTGTGTGTTGGGTCCCCATTTTGAATCAGCAGCACCACGCGTCGCCTCCTCCTCCTACTCCTCCTCCTCCTCCTCCTCCTCCTCCTCCTCCACCTCCTCCTCCTCATCCTGATCATCCTTCTGCTTCGCTTCTTCCTCTCTCTCCTCGTCATCCTCCTTCCTCTTCCTGCTCTTCCTAATCATTATCCTCTTCCCTGCTCCATCCTTTTCCTCCTCCCCTTCCCCTCCTCCTCCTCTTCCTCCTCCTCCTCCTCTTCCGCCTCGTCCTGCTCTAGCCAAGTTGGACACACTCCTCACTCGCTTCGTTTCGGCACACCTCTCGCACGTTTCGCACCCAACAAGAAACTCCATCTTGGGCCCCTGTGGGTGCGTTCGCATGGCGCCGCCGCGCAGATTTCAGCACACCCCGCACACGATCACTGCCTCCAAGGGAGCTCCACATCGGGCCCCAATGGGTGCGTGGGCGCCAGATCCGTGGATCGGGAAGGTACCTCCCGAAACGTGAAGCCAACGCCGCCTGACTTGGCGACAGAGCGCGCCGATGTCGCATGAGAACGGGACCCGCCGCTATTCCACGCGCAGTAATCCATGTTTTCGTGGCCTCGACATTTGCGGCACATCCCCTCACACCTCTCCTGCCCCCCAAAGGGGGGCTCCACCCAGGACTGCATTGTGTGCGTCCGCACGGCGCCGCCGCGCCCAAGGTCTGCGCACCCTCTCACGCGTGGGGCCCAGACGCGGTCAGGGGCAGCGATCGGCGATGCGTGCACCGCTGACAGATCGGCGACAAGACCCCGATAGCAAAACCGCAGACTCCCAGGCGGGGTGGTGAGGGGCAACGACAGGGGGGGAAAGGGATATAGGGGGGGAAAACCATCGGCCTGGAATCGGCGACGCCTCGCCGATAGATCGGCCATCGGCCTCCGATATAGAGAATCTGCACCTTCCTGGGCAGGTTGGAGTTGTCGGGCCCCTGTCGGCGATCAATGGGCGATTGGGGGTCGATGCATCCCCCCCTAGGCCGTAGTCGTCGATCGTCGGCGTCGTCGTTTGTCGTCGTTTGTCGTCGTTTGTCGTCGGGCGTCGGTCCTCGTTCGTCGTCGTCGGCCGTCGTCGTCGTCGCCGCAGGATGGGGAGGGAGGAGGAGGAGGAGGAGGAGGAAAGAGGAGGGAAGAGAAGGAGGAGGAGGAGGAGGAGGAGGAGGAAAGAGAAGGAGGAGGAGGAGGAGGAGGAAAGAGGAGGAGGAGGAGGAGGAGGAGGAGGAGGAAAGAGAAGGAGGAGGAGGAGGAGAAAAGAGGAGGAGGAGGAAACAGGAGGAGGAGGAGGAGGAGGAGGAGCGGCCTCCCCCCCCCCCCCCCCCCCCTCTACGGTTGCCCCCGAGGTGGGGGGTCCGTCGGGCCCCTGGCGGCGCTCCGTGGGCGCCTGGGCGTCGACGCGTCGCTCCCCCCGGAGCCGCTCCCCCCCCTCTCGAACGTTGAAGGGGCCCTGGGGCACACAGATAAATACACACAGACACAACTCACAGGACTCCCCAATATTTTCCCATATTTTCTGTGATTTTTGTCCTCCCCCCCACATCCCTTGCTTTCCCATCTTTTCCTGGGGGTCGACGATAATGAAGGGGCCCCAGGACACACTATAATAGATACACACAAATAAAGATATTCCCCATATTTTCAATTTGTTTCTGGGTTTCTGTCTTCCCCCCCACTCCCCATATTTTCCCATCTTTTCCTGGGAGTCGACGCTTCATGGAGTCTCTGTGTGCTTCTTCCTGTCCTGAAAAGCGCTGCCCCCCGAGGAGCGGGGCGCGACCTGCCCAGCGGGCCAGGGCGTTGCGCGGGCAACCGCGGCGACCACGACCGCCAAGACGACGACGACGACGCCGGCGGCGGCGAGGACGCCAGCGGCTGCGCACGACGACGGCGCGAGGATGACGGCGGCGGCGTCGGCGGCAAGTGACAGTGCCAGGGGGCCACGTGTGGACCCTACCCTGACCCCTCACGATTTCCGAAGGGGGAGGGTGGGGTTCACCTCGCTCGGGAGCTCCCGAGCGAAGCAAACCCCACCCTCCCCCTCAGAAGTCGTGGGCGGCAGGGGTAGGGTCCGCATGCGGCCCCCTAAGTGCACTGCGCGCAGGGAAGAGGCGGAAGGCGGGAACAGCCCGCAGGCGAGCGCGGGGCGGGCAGGGAACGCCTGGAACGCCTCCCAAGAAGAGGGCAGAGGGGCGAATTAGCCTGGCGAAGGACCCAAACATATGCAGCTGCGAGTACCGCAAGGATACCAATGTCAAGCTCCCCCCGACCGTCGGTGGAGATCCCTATGGGGCCACGAAACGTGTGAGGGGTGTGCCGAAGTGGGTGTTGGGGAGTGCCGAAATGGGTGGTGGGGAGGCATGCGAACCCTGCCACTGGGGCCTTCGGTGGAGCTCCCTATGGGGCCACGAAACGTGTGAGGGGTGTGCCGAAATGGGTGGTGGGGAGGCATGCGAACCCTGCCACTGGGGCCTTCGGTGGAGCTCCCTATGGGGCCACGAAACGTGTGAGGGGTGTGCCGAGATGGGTGGTGGGGGGGCATGCGAACCCTGCCACTGGGGCCTTCGGTGGAGCTCCCTATGGGGCCACGAAACGTGTGAGGGGTGTGCCGAAATGGGTGGTGGGAAGGCATGCGGACCCTGCCACTGGGGCCTTCGGTGGAGCTCCCTATGGGGCCACGAAACGTGTGAGGGGTGTGCCGAGATGGGTGGTGGGGAGGCATGCGAACGCAGCCACTGGGGCCTTCGGTGGAGCTCCCTATGGGGCCACGAAACGTGTGAGGGGTGTGCCGAAAAGGGTGGTGGGGAGGCATGCGAACGCAGCCACTGGGGCCTTCGGTGGAGCTCCCTATGGGGCCACGAAACGTGTGAGGGGTGTGCCGAAATCTGTGCGGTGGGCGCATGGGAGCGCAGCCATGGGGGCCTTCGGTGGAGCTCCCTATGGGGCCACGAAACGTGTGAGGGGTGTGCCGACATGGGTGGTGGGGGGCATGCGAATCTGCAACTGGGGCCTTCGGGGAGCTCCCTATGGGCCACGAGAAGTGTGAGGGGATTGTGCCGACATTGGGTGGTTGGGGAGGCATGCCTAACGCAAGCCACTGGGGCCTTCGGTGCGAGCTCCCTATTGGGCCACGAAAACGTGTGAGGGGCTGGCGAAATGGGTGGTGGGGAGGCATGCTAACGCAGCCACTGGGCCTCGGTGGAGCTCCCGATGGGCCACGAAAACGTTGTGAGGGGTGTGACGAAAAAGGGTGGTGGGGAGCACGGGTGGGCCTTCTTCGGTGGAGCTCCCTATGGGGCCACGAAACGTGTGAGGGGTGTGCCGAAATGGGTGTGCGGGACGCATGCGGACGGCAGCACTGGGGCCTTCGGTGGAGCTCCCCTATGGGGCCACGAAACGTGTGAGGGGTGTGCCGAAATGGGTGTGCGGGACGCATGCGGACGGCAGCCATGGGGCCTTCGGTGGAGCTCCCTATGGGGCCACGAAACGTGTGAGGGGTGTACCGACATGGGTGGTGGGGAGGCATGCGAACGCAGCCACTGGGGCCTTCGGTGGAGCTCCCTATGGGGCCACGAAACGTGTGAGGGGTGTGCCGAAATGGGTGTGCGGGACGCATGCGGACGGCAGCACTGGGGCCTTCGGTGGAGCTCCCTATGGGGCAACGAAGCGTGTGAGGGGTGTGCCGAAATGGGTGTGCGGGACGCATGCGGACGGCAGCCACGGGGCCTTCGGTGGAGCTCCCTCTGGGGCCACGAAACGTGTGAGGGGTGTGCCGAAATGGGTGTGCGGGACGCATGCGGCGCGGGCACTGGGGCCTTCGGTGGAGCTCCCTATGGGGCCACGAAACGTGTGAGGGGTGTGCCGAAATGGGTGTGGGGACGCATGCGGCGCAGCCACTGGGGCCTTCGGTGGAGCTCCCTATGGGGCCACGAAACGTGTGAGGGGTGTGCCGAAATGGGTGTGGTGGGCGCATGCGGGCGCAGCCACTGGGCCTTCGGTGGAGCTCCCTATGGGGCCACGAAACGTGTGAGGGGTGTGCCGAAATGGGTGGTGGGGGGGCATGCGCAGCCACTGGGGCCTTCGGTGGAGCTCCCTATGGGGCCACGAAACGTGTGAGGGGTGTGCCGAAACGTGCATGCGAACGCAGCCACTGGGGCCTTCGGTGGAGCTCCCTATGGGGCCACGAAACGTGTGAGGGGTGTGCCGAAATGGGTGGTGGGGAGGCATGCGAACGCAGCCACTGGGGCCTTCGGTGGAGCTCCCTATGGGGCCACGAAACGTGTGAGGGGTGTGCCGACATGGGTGGTGGGGAGGCATGCGAACGCAGCCACTGGGGAGGGCGAGGAGAAGGAGGAGGAGGAGGAGGAGGAGGAGGAGGAGAAGGAGGAACGCGGGGACCGTCTCTTCAAAACGAGGACCCAACACCACAAGATGGTTGGGAATATGCAGTATTCAAAAAATACCCCCCAAATGCTCAAAAATAGTCAAAAAAATCGTCCCCAGACAATCTCTTGATTATTTATGAAAATTCCCCCTATAGAAGGACACGCCCGACTTAACTCAAAATCCGCGAACCCGGCCCGCGACCCGGCCCGCGACCCGCCCGCGACCCGCCCGCGACCTTGCCCGCGACCCGCCCGCGACCCGGCCCGCGACCCGCCCGCGACCCACCCGCGACCAGCTTCCCCACGGCGACCTCGGTGCTCTTTGGACGCCCGAAATGGGTACGGCAAAAATGGGTGCACTGCCCAACAACAAAGGGTGTCCCAAACCAACCGCGGCCGCTGTTGGGCAGGCGGCCTCCTGTCTCCAATGGACACAGGCCGCGGCGGCGCGGACAGCGAGTCCTGTTCAAAATGAATCGGGGGCCACATGCGAACCCTACCCCTAAACCCACGATTTCGGAGGGGGGAGGCTTCGCATGCGGCCCCCGAGTGCACAGGAGCTGCACTGCACCCCTTCTTTCCGTGCCCACGTCGGTCGTCCCGATGCTCGACGCGGGAAGGCGGCCGGGCGAGGGCGTTTGCTGGGCATCTCCCCCCCCCCCCGGGGGCCGCCCTCGAAGGCGCAGACCGAGCCGTAGTCCTGCGCGGCCGCCCCCGGCAGCGCCGAGAGGGCCGCGGCGGCGCAGAGCACCCAGGGCCGCCCGGGCCTGCGCCGGCCGCGTCGCCACCTATGTGCGGACCCACCACAACAATGCCGCCTGCTGCTCCCCCATCCCTCGTGCCCCCCGCGCCCTCGCGCCACCTCGCCAGCTCGGCGTTCCCCCGCCTCCTGCTGCTCCTCCGAGTTCTGCTGTTCCCATCCCCCCCCATCTTCGGTGGTATAACTCAGGGGAGCGTCCCGAACCAGCTGGTCGGCTCTTGCGCATCGAGGCTAGTGGACGCTAAGTTCGACGCTACTCCACGCCAAGTCGACGCTGATCGACGAGAAACCGACGCTATCTCATCCACTCCCAGACGCTCATCGACGCTAGTCGACGCGAAATACGGAATCAAGAGGGTATACCAGGCTCCCACGATTTGCTACCGAACCCTTCCTCTCAGGGGCGCGCGAACATAGATTAGCGAGCCGTGGATTTGGCGCGCGGTCGCCACATCCGTGGATCGGGGGAGGTGCCCTCCCCAAAATGCGGCCAGCGACGCCTCGCTCGGCGGCGGAAATCCGCGATCTCCCACGAAAAACGGGACCCGTCGCTGATCCAAGCCCACTGGAGCCATATTTGCGATCGCCCGATCCTCCCGCTTCGTCGCCGAGCTCTGCTGCTTCCACCCCTCCCTCCCGTCTCGCGCGTGCCCCCTCGCTCGCGGTTCAGGCCCCCCCTCCCCCGCCGTGCACAAAGAAGAGCTCACGGCGGAGGGTTTCTGTTGCTGCCGGTCGGCCTCCGCGCGGCCCTGACCACCCGGGACCACCAGAAAGCCATTGATTATCGGGATGAATATTCTATAGCCGGTCCCCGGAGGGGGCTCACTCAGATCTCCGGGGATCCCCGCCATGGACAAATCATGACGTCGGGGGTCTGAGCTCCAGGATTTCGGGTGACCCAAAAGGGGGTGCAGCTGCAAGGGGGTGGTGCAACAAATTTGGGGCAATCGAATTGCAAATGTATTGCGCAGGAGACTTGTACTGCATGGTATTCCAACTAATTTATGGCACGCGAAGATCCAGCAATACGCTTGCGCCCCGGAATGTATTGCACGCCCCACGTGTATAAACTGCAGCCCCACAAATCTATTGCACCACCCCCTTGTCGCTGGACCCCCCTTTGGGTCAATCCGAAGGATGGAGGAGGAGGAGGAGGAGGAGGAGGAGGAGGAGGAGGAGGAGGAGGAGGAGGAGGAGGAGGATGGAGCTTCGTGGGTCGAACTTTGGAGATCGAGCCTGTTCGACCTCGCCGCCCACGGCTGTGGCCTCCCGGGGGGCGTGCCCGTCGCCACGGATCGGGCCCCCTTTGCAGTGCTGCTCAAAAAACAGCCCCGGACAAGCAGGCCCTAGGGCCGAGGAGGAGGAGGAGGAGGAGGAGGAGGGGGAGGAGGAGGAGGGAGAGGAGGAGGAGGAGGAGGAGGAGGCGGAGGAGGGGGAGGCAGAGGAGGGGGAGGGGGAGGAGGAGGGGGAGGAGGAGGGGGAGGAGGAGGAGCAGGAGAGCGCTGCGATCTGGCGCGGAGGCTCGCGCGGGCCGCCGAAGCGACACGCGCCCTGGCAGACGGGGCGCTGGCGCTGGAAGCCTGCGCAAAACCATCCGCCCAGCCTGCCCCCTGTCCTTTCGTCGCCACTCTGGGGCGGAGCTCCAGACGTCCGGCGGCGAGGGAGGCCCCGCCGGGAGAGGGCAGGATATACCCGAAAGCACCAAGATTCACGAGGCTTCGCGCCCCCCCCACCCACTCCCGAAGACGATGTCCTTTACAAGGCTCCACACCGCCCCCGCGCCTCCGGGGAGGCCCCGCCAGAGCGGGCAGGGCAGCCGAAAACTGAAACAAAACATACAAAAGGTGTCGTGCCTCTCCCGCCTCTCCTGGCTCGGGGTGCTGGTGTCGGGACTCGGGTGGGCTGACGCGAAAAACCAGGAGATGGGGCAACATACGAGACCTATGTTGCTTCACATCAGCAATTTGGCCCCTGCTGACTTTTTTCAAAATAATATATTGGGATGAAACGCTGCCGCTGGATATATCGAACACAGTTGATCACAACACAAACGCTCCTGCGATCCCCGCCAAAATGGCAAGAAATGGTAAGCTCAGATCCGCATGGCTACATTGCAACCGAACCGCTTGACCACCATCTCGACCGAACTGGCGGAATTCGACCACGCGTCCGACAAAATACGTTCGACGAGGGATGCGCTGCACAATGCCCCGGCCACGGGCAGCGCTACGAGGGAAAGCGGGCCCTTCGATGTGTCACTTTCAGCGCCCGTGAAAGTGACACCTCCCAGGGCCCACTTAAAGAGCACCAGAAAGGCTCCAAGAAGGCCCCGAGAAGGCCCCAGGGCGGCACCAAGAGGGCTCCCAGAGGGACCCAAGAGAGGCCCCAAGAAGGGCCCAAGAGGGCCCTCCGCGGTGTCACTTTCAACGCCCGTGAAAATGACACCTCCCAGGGCCCACTTAGGGCCTCAGAAAAGCTCTAAGAAGGCCCCGAAAGGGCCATAGAGAGCCGCCCTGGGTTCAACTCCGCGTGGCGGAGTTGGAAGCGATAACTTCAATACCCTACTGGAGGCCTCTTAGGGGCCCTAAGACGGCACTGAAGAACCCCATCGGGGCTTTTTCAAAGGCAGAGGAGGGCGCAAAAAGGGGCCTCAGTGAGCCCCTGGTCTAACTCCACCGGGCGGAATTGGAAGCGATATCGCCCGGCGCCTTCATGGAGCCGCTCGGAGCTTCCAAGACGGCTCCAGAAGGCCACAGGAGGGCCCCAAGAGGATCGAACGACGATTCCTGGAAGTGCACCAGTGAGACCCTTGTTGACCTCCGCCTGGCGGAGTTGGAAGCGACAATTTCCAGTGCCCTCTTGGGGCCTCTGGGGGGCCCCTCAGAAAGCTTTGGGGAGCACAGTGAAGGCCTTCGCAGGGCCGCGTGAGAGCCGTACCAGGGCCGCATGTGTGCGCGGATGGGGGCGACGAGTGCTGACGCTGACGAATATGAGAATGATGAGGGCGATCAAGGCTGGCCCGAAACAAATCCTGGCGCCATTGCAGGCCGCCGATTATCGGCCACGCCGCCAGGACGACGCCAAGCAACAAAACGACACCAACCAACAAACCGACACCAACCAACAAACCAACAAATCGACACTGGCCAACAAAAGGACACCAAGCAACAAAACGACACCAAGCAACAAAACGACACCAACCAACGAAACGACACCAACCAACAAAACGGCACGAATCAACAAAACGGCACTGACCAACCAAACGACAAATCACTTCACGACACCAATGAACAACGCGAAATCCACCGACCGCCAACCAAACACAAAATCAACCGACACAACGAAACCAACCCATAGAGCCAGACCAACCACTGGATTCGTGAGTCGGGGTAGTCATGGAAGTGAGCCGCTGCAGCCCGCGGAAGCCATTAACAGTGACCAGAGCACCGCAATGCAGCAACGTCCCCGGGCGGCGGCGGGAGTCTTGGATCTCCCGCGGGACTGGAGCGTAGCGAGTTCGTCCTGGGTCCGGTTTAGTGAAGTGAAGAATTTCGGGGTGCTTGCATGGCAAAAACCTTCACTTCACTAATCTGGGGCCCCTGGAGCCCCAGGGCGTTTCAGGTCCCCTCGCTGTCTGGGTAGTCCAGGGGGCGCAGTGGCGGCTTACCAGAGGCCCTGTTCCCTAGCCTCACTTGCTTTCACCCGTGGTGCTCGACGGCCGTCTCGGAGCTGTCTTGTGGCGGTCTGGGGCAATCCCGAAGCCTCTTGGAGCCATCCCAAGGCCCCAAGGCGCCACCAATGGGGGCCCCAAGAGAGCTCCCAGAGGGCCCCGAAAGGCCTACAACAGATTGCACGTTCGCGCGAATTCTTTGTACCACTTTGGGGGGTCCCTCTTGGGGCCCTCGGGGAACGTTCTTGGGGCCCTCCGAGGGCCCACTGGGGCCCCGGGAAGGCCCCAAGAACGCTCCCAGAGGGCCCCAAGAATGCTCCAAGAGGGCCCCAAGAGGACCCCCACAAGTGACAAAAACTATTTGCATGAGGGTGCAACTTACTCGGCGCCTCTTGGGGCGCTCTTGGAGCCGTGCTGGGCGCCACTCGTGGACGACATGGGCTGGGCGACGGCATGTGGACCCTGTCGCTTGGGCCATCGGGGGTGCTCCCCAATGGGGCCACGAAACTTCTGAGCGTATGACGGAATTGGCTGGGCGGCGGCCTGTGGGCCCTGCCTGTGGGGCCGTCGGTGTAGCTCCCCGTGGGGCCACGAAGCGCGTGAAACGTATGCCGAAATATGCTGGGCGGCGGCCTGGGAAACCTGCCGCTGGGACTTGTTTTGGTGGAGCTGCCTAAAGGGGCACGAAATGTTCGAGGGTGTCATCAATGTGGCCTGGGCGACGGCATGTGGACCTTGCCGCCGGGACCTCCGATGAGCTCCTCATGGGGACACGAAGCGTCTGAGGGGCGTGCCGACATGGGCTGGGCGGCGCACTAAGGACCCTGCCGATGGGGCCTTCGGTGGAGCACCTCACAAGGCCACGAGACTTGCGGGGGATGTGGCGAAGCAGAGACGCGGGGGAACAAGGGGGGTGTTTTGATGATGTTGATGAGGATGGTGGTGGTATTGATGATGGAGACGACGAGAATGCTGATGATGCTGATGATGATGGTGATGGCGACGATGACGATGGACGATGACGACGGGGACACGCGGAGAGCAGGGGCAGATACGCGAAGAGGGAGGACGAGGGAGGGGGCCGGAAGGAATGACGCGGGGCGGTGTCTCTTCAAAACGAAGAACCAACACTGCAATATGGTAGGAAATTTCTGGACGACCCCCCCCCGTGGCGCGGTCAATGTCCGCGACAGCATCGCTGGCACTACGAACGAAATGATCGAACTCTTCCTGCGACGTTACCCGCGGGGTGGATCAGCCAGGGATGGGGGTCGAAACCGCCCCAGCGCAAAGCAAATGTACAATCCTGAGAAACCCCAGCCCACATCAACCGATCCGCAACAAGCACGCAAGCCTTTGACGACCCCAACGCACGTGACATCGCATAACGCGACGCGCCATCGAAAACGTTCGACGCGCGGCCTCGGAATGACATCGGGCTTCATGGAACGCCGAATGGAAAACATGAAAAACCGCCCTGTGGGCTCCGAGACCCAAAATTACTGATGTGAAGGATTTCGGCTCGTCGACAACAGAGTTTCGCGGGAGAGGGGGATTTGTCCAGACATTTTTAGCGAGCTAGAGGATTCGCCGGAGATTTCGCTGGGAGGGGGATTTCGATGGAGATGTCGCCGGAGATTTCCAAGGGGGAGAATTCGCTGGAGATTTCGCTAGAGATTTGGGGGGGGGGTCGCTGGAGAGTTCGCCCAAGATTGTTACCAAATCGGGTCGGGGGCGCTGGAAATGTACAAAGATTATGCCGGAGAAGTTTATTGAGACCCCTAAAGCTTGAGATTCCAGGGAAGATGACGTTTGAGATGTGCACGGCTGGAGATCCCAGGGAAGACTTTCTGAAGATTTGAAGGGCTCGCAAAAAAGTAGGAGAGGTCTGGAAGCGCCAGATCTAATCCAAGAGGCTCTGAAGACGACCTCGTAAGACTCCAAGAAGACCCCAAAGAGGGCCTCCAGAGGCAACAGGAATTCATGTTGTTTCGGCGTGAGTTTGTGTGTGTAAGAACTCGTACAATTCGGAACAACTTCTCTGGCTGCAGACACCCCAAGCCCGCCTCGGAGGCCTCCGAGGATTGCCCCAACACGGGCCAGAAAGCCCCCAGTGGGGCCCCAGAACGCCCCCAAGGTGACCCCGGAGGCCCTCAAGGAAGGCCCAAGTGGACCCCCAGAAGGCCAGAGAGGCCCCCAGGGCGGCCGGAGGAGGCCCCACGAGGGCACCAAGACGGCCCAGAGAGGCTCCCAAGATGGTCCTTCAAGGCGCCAGGCGGCCCGAAGACAGCCCAAGGCGCCCGCATTGGCGCCAAACATGCCCTCGACAAGCCCCCAACGAAGCAGCCCCGAGAGGTCCCCAGAGGCCTCGAGAGGCCTCCGAGAGGCTCCCAGGAGGACCCCAGCGCACATACTCTACTGAAGGGGTCCTGGGACACACGCAATTAATTACAGACAAATAACAGGATTCCCAATATTTTCCTATAGTTTCTGGGCTTTTGTCTTCCCCCCACACTTCCCATAGTTTCCCATGTTTTCTGGGAATCGACGATTCATTGTGTCTGTGTGTTTTTTCCCTCCTGATCTACACACACTCCAGGCGTGCACCCCGCGGAGCGGGAGGGGACCCGCGGCAGGGAGGGCACCCTGGGGAAGCAGGGGGCCAGTGCCGCCAGACTCGGCGACGGCGCGCGCCGTCACTGCACGGAAACTGGACCCGTCGCGGACCCGTCGTGCCTTCGTCCGCGCGCTGCCTCTGCAGACATCCGGCGTCGTGTCTCCTTATGCGTTCGTGGCCCCTGGACCTCTCGACCCCGTCACAGGGACCAAAGTCTCATCCTGCAGTGTCTTCTGGTCGCTCCAGGGCAACAAGCGGGGCCCGTGGAGGCCCAAACTGAAGAACGACGCAGGCACTGAACTGATCACGGCGTCGAAGTCCTGGGTCAGCGACGGAAATCTCTCGGGGCACTTAAAGATGACGCCGACGACGACGACAGCGGCGACGGAAGGAGGACGAAAACCAAATAAACGAACGAACAGGTAAACGTTGCGCAGAACCGTTCGAATCGACACAAACAAGACAACGAAGGGTAGGCATGGGCTTCCTGGATCGGGCGCGCATGGGAGACGAAAGAGGCGAGAGCAGAAGGGAGATGAGGAGGAGGAGGAGGAGGACGAGGAGAGGGGAAGGAGAAGACGAGGATGAAGAGGATGAAGAGAGGAAGAGGCGGAGAAGGAGGAGGAGGAAGGGGGAAGAGGAGAGGAGGAGGCAGAAAGAGAAGAAGGAGGAGGAGGCGGAGAAGAGGAGGAGGAAGAGAGGAGGGGGACGAAGACGAAGAGAGGAGGAGGAGGAGGAGGAGGAGGAGGAGGAGGAGAAGGAGGAGGAGGAGGAGGAGGAGGAGGAGGAAGGGAACAATGAGGAGGAGCGGAGCATAATAAGAGGAGTAGGAGACGGAGGAGGAGAAGGAGAAGGCGGGGAAGAGGAGGAGGAGGAGGAGGAGGGCGCTAAGAACAAGAGGAGGAAGAGCAGCAGCAGCACTAGGGCGGTCTTGCCGCTCGGCGGCAGCGTCTCTTGGGGCCCTCGCCGCCCGCGCTGCGGCGGAGTCCCGCGGGGCGGGTGCGGGTCGTGGCCCATGGCCCGCCGCAGCGGGCTTCGGCCGGGGCGGTCTGTCCGCCGCGGCCAGAGCCCAAACGGCCCT